AAAACTTGAAATAAATTTTTTGCACAGGACTTAAAAATGTCTAGGATAATGTTAATATATGTTGGAGTAGATATTGACAGTGGAAAGACATTTATACTTATATTTTTTAACTTTTTTCTAAATGAAGCTTTCGGAAACTTCGTTTAGCATTCCGATGTAAACAACGAAAAAAGAGAACTTGAACAAATTACAACTAACGTAGAAATACTAAAACCCAAGATGAAAAAAAAAGATCAATATTGATACATATATAGATATTCAGGTAATAAAGTCACCACCATGTTTAAACAACTGTATGCAGTTAATTAGCGAATTTTAAAATCGAGCATATCCGCATTCGTATACACTGTGTATCATACTTTGGATCGAGATCTTGATGACTAAAATTGGCCAATTAATAAAAGAGATAATTGTTTTGATTGATTACCTTATTTTTTACCAAACCGTTCGCTAGTTGTAGCCAATTTAATAATCAAAAATTATTAAATAATAAACAACGAGCCGAAGACAGTGTCATTCTGAAGGTTGTACAAGGTTAACGGGAAAGAATTGAGACCAAGCATTTTGTGATGTCAATTAGAAGAAACTACAGTGAATCGAATGACGTATAGATTATGTACATATATCTTAGTAGTACGGATAGTTATAACAACTTAAAAAATCATTTTTGCGTTACCTTTTGCAATATTTTGGAGTTTTCTTTTATTTTTATAAACCAGATCAACATAATAAATAATTATATACATATGTTCTACAGGTTGTTTTAATATCTATTCCTTACATTTTTAATTCGTTAGAAGGCGACTGGCCCTTCGAATTTATTTAATTTATATTATTATATATTATTATATTATATATTATTCAGATTTTATTCTCTTGCGGAACTACAAGATTGAATTTTTTGAAAGAAATTTGTTGTTGTACTATGTATAAAATTCTCAATCGTCTCTATATTTAAGTCGTTTCTTATTTGTTCATTTTTAACAAACCAGGGTGCATCTACTGCTATTCTAATGACTTTGTTTTGTAACGATTCTAATTTTTTAATATTAGTTTTTGATATATTGTTCCACACCGGGCTAGCATAAGTGTTTAGTGGTCGGATTAGTGATTTATATATTAATACCGTGCAGTTGGTTTTTAAGTTTGATTTTCGGTTTATAAGTGGATATAATTCACGTAATCTGTTGTACCCTTGATTTAGTTCGTAGTTGATATGTATACTCCATGTTAACCTTTGATCTAGCATGACTCCCAGATATTTTACTGCTTTATCCTTTGGATTCCATTTTATTTCGTGGTTATTTATTGTTAGCAAGGTAGGATTTCTTATTCTTCTCAGGGTAAAAATTTTTCCTTTGCATTTGTTTGGGTTGAGTTATATATTCCATTTATTCAGCCATTTAACAGTTTCGTTGAGTAAACTTTGCACCTGCTCTATAGTTTCTTCGAGATCATAGTTTTGTGTTAAAATTACCATGTTATCTGCAAACATTCCTAGACTGCTTAGCCTAGGTATTGGTAAGTCATACATGGATATGTTGAATAGCAAAACACATATAGCCAAGCAACGATCTTAATCCTGAGGATTACAAATTATTGTTGAAGAACTATATTTTAAAGTTAATATAAACACTACTTCATAAATACATCTAAACATTATTTTTTGTATTAGTTAATGATTTTGTTTCCATTTTATATTCAATGTAAAAAAACAACGATTTTGCACTTCAAATGGATTTTCTTTTAGTTATTTCTCTCTACCGTCATACGTCTACATCACCCCTGTCCTTTTCTAACCTATCCTCATCCCTAGGATCCCATGTTAGATTTAATATGTTCTATGTTTTGAAGTTGCTTTTAATTGTGTTATTATTTCAAATTTGAAATGTCATCCCCACCCTCCACGGTAATACCATTTGACAAAAATGAAAATTATCAACCACGCAGTTCCTAACCTTACAAACAATAATTTAGCAGCAAAGAGTACGACGCCATAACATAATTTATTCTCGATTCTCCAAAGATTTTTAGTGGCAATTTAAAAGTAGAAACAAATTTAATTAAGAAAAATACTCAACATCGTCTATTTTAAGAATCTTTTGTGACATTTGACGTAAGTTTTGATTTGTTTTTAATATGTTAAATGTAATTCATTTTTTATCTCTGAAAATTCCAAATGAATAATGTAATGTGACTATCGTTTCAAGTTTAATTTGTAAAAATGTTTTATATCTATCCAGGTAATCTCCTCATGATGCTACGAGTAATGTAGCGAAACCGGTAGAGAGAAATAACTAAAATAAAATCCATTTGAAGTGCAAAATCGTTGTTTTTTACATTATTTTTTGTAATTGAGTAAATTCATAATATACAGCAACAATGTTCCGATTAGAACATTGAAATTCGTTTGAATGATTAGAATATTTTTCATTATTAGACATAAATAGAATATTCTGTATGTATACATATTTATGTTTCATTATTAATTCATGCTTATACATTATTATTATTCATTTATCTCTATTTAAAGTGTAAGTTTATATGAAAAAGGTATGATATGCGTACCAGATCCAGCTGATGAATTTAACGTAGAAGTTGATTAGCGTGCACACATGGAGCTATTGCTATAAATGGAATCAAACCGCTTTATGTTAATGCAAGCGCTTTTTTATATACATATGTCGAAGAAAGTCACACTTCACCTGAACAAATTAATTTACTTGAATTATTAAGTTTCTTTAAAGATCTAGTGATTTAAATGAAGATGTCATATTATGCTCATGAGAATGAATATATCACTTATGAAAAGTACAGCTGCAGATATTTACGACGCAAAAGTCCCTTCGATTCGGAAATGTTTCGACATAAAGCACAAATTACTTTTATTATTTCTTCGCCTATACATGAAATGTATGTCTGCCATTTGTTCGTTAGTAAATTTCATATCTAGTTTTCAAAATTTAACACTGCTTTTCTCTGACAATTAATTGTTATGAACTAAATGGTCGTATCAAGAGAACAATGAACTTAGTTAACTCGGATAAATGGTTAAAATAACAAACCAATTATTGCTTCAATTAATGTTGAGAATCTTTTTTTACAGTTTTGTTCCGGTAATGAAATTTGGCCGAGCAATTCAGATACACTATTATCGTCACCTTTGCAGCGACTTTCGCCATGTTATTTTAGTACTGGGGCATAGAAGAGTCCCGGATTCGTAACATTCGTATTTTGTGTTATCTGTTGTTTATTGAAACTTCAACAACAACGCTTCACGGCAGGTATTGCCATGCGCATCAAAATGCTCATTTTGTTTTGAGATTGTCACAATATACGTTATCGAAAAATAAAGGATGTCACTCCAAAAAGTTACAGCAGTTTACAAAATCACTTACATATTGGCATGGTCGACTGAAATGAAGATATACATAATTTGTTGTTACACCATAAGAACTTTCATTTTTTTTCGGTTTCCACATGTAGTATCATATCCTTCAATTTCAGTTTCCAAGAGATACTTAAATACTGTGAAGCTGGTGTACCATAATGAATCATAGATTATTTTGGTAGTATTTACATTCTTAATGCACTTAAAGGTGTCCACTTGAGAGAAACTTCTGAGAGTAATTCTCGATATCTACCCTCAATTGTGTGTCTACTTTGAGACTTTTTTAGCTCCCCGAGAGCTTCTATAAAACTTCCGAGAGCTTTCTCTCAGACAATTCTCTCAGGACCGTGCTATGGAAAGTAAAATTTATTTTCTTTCAGTGTATGGTGTGTGTACACATGGATGTAAACAAAATTGCAAGTGCAATAGTATTGTACAAAATTAAAAAAAGAAACAAACAGAAAAAAATAAAAAGTAGCTGTTGGGTGAAACCATTTTTTGGGGATTTGCCGTAGATTACAACTGGGTATCAACAAATATCAACATTCGTTATCAAATTGTTAGTTATTTGGCATACTGGATTCACAAAAAGTGAACTCGGTTGCTTTAATGGCACTTATAAATGCAAACTATAAGTTTATTGTAGTGCACGTGATAGCTTAATAGTGACTTGACGGTATTTTGGAAAATTATTAGAAAATATAAACTTAAACGTCTCAATTGCTGAAAGAGACTAGATATTACTGGCAGAAGACGAAGTATTACTAATGAAAGACTAGATGTTGCAAATGAAGCAGATTCTTCTTACAGAAGACTTCACACTACTACCAGAAGACAAAATACTGTTGGTAGAAAACTAGATATTGCTGCAAAAGACTAGATATTGCTGGCAGAAGACTAAGTAATGCTAGTGAAAGACTAGATATTGTAAATGAAACACATCCTTCTTACAGAAGACTACACTCGCTTCCTGATTTCTATGTTCTTTAGATCTGGTATTCCAAAGAACTGAATTTCCTTTATACACTTCAATTAATTCAAATATTTCTTCTTGGGACCATTTTCTTTTAGGCGTCATCTTTAAACGTATTAGAGAAAACTCGCAGCTACTCACAGCAAAATTCGAACCGTGTTCGTTTTTTGACAGTTACTCTCATAATATATGTATAAATTGTGCGTGCCACGTGAGTACAAGTCTCAACTTGTTCACTCTCCGAAAGTTGGTGTAAACTCTCTGATAGTTAAGGTAGGAACACACTATGCTCACGTCACGTGAGCTTTCGTGCTATCATGTAAGCATGATATCACGTGATATGAAGCGCAGGAGACACATTTTACGCACATTTCGTATAATTTCGCGCTCATTTCATTCGCACTGTTTAATATCAGATTGTTGTGAAACGATTTGCTATGTATACGATGAAGTACAATAGCAATTCTAGTAGTTCCTCAGAATGGGAAGAAGATTTAGAAAATGTGGCTACATGTTTAGCTATGAGTGAAAGTAAAAAAAAAAAGTCATACTGGGTACATGAAATTAATAAAAAACGAAATAATTTCGGTGAATATCATTAAAAGAATATCGTAAAAGAATTGAAAGAACATCCGAAAAAGTTTCACATGTACTTTAGAATGTCTAAAGAACAGTTTGAATTTGTACATGACATTATTAAAAATAAAATACAAAAGAAAAGTACACAGTTTAGAGATCCAATTAGTACACGGGAAAGACTGGCAGTTTGTTTAAGGTAAGTACTGATAAATCTACACTAACATTTTATTAAAGAATATATTTAACAATTTTAATAGTATATGTTATCAAAGTTTGTTGCTTCGTTTGGTGACAACATAGGTGTGTAGGAAGTTTGATGAGTAGATGCCACTGAAGAGTGACTCGAACATTGCTCTCCTGTAGTAATATGCCTGTGTTGTTCGTGTTGGTGAATCTCCGCCTGGAGAACAGCATTGCTAAGATTTAATTTTATTTTGGCTTGTTCGATGTTGGGCAACTGTTTAGTCATCAAAAAGAACATATCCGTCTCATCTAATTGCTCCAAACCAGACGATGCAGTTTTTTGTTCGTATTTTTGTTTACGAAACTCGGCATTGTCTTTTAAAATTTTTATCATTTCATATGCCGGATTTCCTTCTGCATCCCTTTTTCGTTTTTTTATAATTTCCCTACGTTGAATTATTTCATTTTCCACGTCGGGTTGCTTATCTTTCTCCGTATCTTCAGGCGGATGTTCTGGTGCATTATCAACTTCGGGATCCACTGCTTCGCTCTCATCATTTTCAGTTGTTGTATTGTTATATTGATCATCAACTAAACTTGCTTGTACTCTATAGCAATACGCAAATTGTAACAAGAGCATTTATACTACAATCGCTTGCAATTAAATCGCACAGTTTAAATAAATTTGTAACAAACTTGCGAAAGGTTTTACTTGTTACTTTGAGAGTGACGAAGTAAAACGAATATGAATGTAGAACTTTATTTAAGCGATTTTATTAAAGCGATTTTATTGCAAGCCCGTATTCTGCTTGCGATTACATACCTTCGATTTTCCATAGATGGTTGAATAGAACTCATTTGGTTTTCATATTTCCATGGAATTATATTTTTAGCAGATTGACCGCTTTTTTTAACTCTTCTACTTCTCGCATTCATAAAGCACCTCCGCAGTTTATCCCATAACACCTTCGCTTCTTCTGCTATAAAATAAAATATTTACGAAATTATATTTGCAGATTTTTGGCAACCGGAAATTCATTTCGCTCCATCGCTTTTAACTACAGGTTAGGATTTAGCACAGTTCGAAAAATTGTAGCAGAAGTTTGCGATGCTATATGGGAGACATTAGGATCGACTGTATTTCCCACACCAACAGAAGAAAATTGGAAAAAAGTTGCAGAACGATTTAACTTGTTGTGGAATTTTCCAAATTGCATAGGGGCAATAGACGGAAAACATATAAATATTAGATGTCCAATAAATGGAGGTTCTTCATTTTACAATTACAAAGGAAATCATTCTATTGTGCTATTAGCCCTTGTTGATGCTGAATACAAGTTTATATCAATTGATGTAGGATTTTACGGTCGAAATAGCGATGGTAATATATTCTCTCGTTCGATGATAGGAAAAAAGTTAGAAGATAACAGTTTACATGTACCGCAAAATGCTCCTCTTTTAGAAAATGGGGAAGCACAGCCATACGTTATCGTTGGGGATGAGGCTTTTCCTTTAAAATCTTATCTTCTTCGGCCATATAGCAAGCACTACCTTACAAATAATGAGCCCAATAAAATATTTAACTATAGATTGTCCCGAGCACGCAGAGTAGTAGAAAATGCGTTTGGAATATTAGCTGCTCGTTGGAGAGTATTTCAAAAACCTTTAGAAGTACAACCAACAATGGTAGACAAAATTGTGCTAGCATCTTGTTCACTGCATAATATGCTATGCTCAGATGCTAAATGTGATCCAAACAACACACTATTGGAATCACAGCCAGAGCCACATCTAACCGCATTACAAAATGTAGATAATTTAAGACGAAACTGTACCCAAACTGCATTCCAAGTACGAGAGAATTTTAAGGAATATTTCAATTCTCGAACAGGAAGTGTCCCCTGGCAAACAGATATAGTTCGCAGAGGAGAATTGTAAATGAAAACAATTGAGAAAGAAACAGAAAAAAAAACAAAACAAAAACTAAAAAAAATAATAAAAAATAATATATAAATAATGTACACTTACGTTTGATTTTCAAATCTCCCCCTATTTCCCCCCAAGCCTCTTGACGCATATTTTGGTTTCTGTAGTCATGGGACCGAATATTGTAGAACACGTCATGTTGTCTTACTTTTTCTATTAGTTTTTCTTCCATTTTCATTTCTATTATAACCTCAATTTAAAACGTCCTTGCAAGCGCACGTGAGCTACGATGTGCGGATTTCGGGATAATACAATCGTGCTCTCACGCGTGCTGGACGTGATAGGACGTGTGTCTCCTATACATAAGAAATAGTACGAAATAACACGCTCACACAATTGTGAGCTCATGTGCTGTCACGTAAGCTCATACAACGTGAGCATAGTGTGTTCCTACCTTTACTCTCAGATGCGTGTTCACCAGGAAAAATACTCTCGATAGCTTCTCTCAAGAGCATTTCTCGCAAGTGGACACCTAGCTTAAGATAATTTTTCTTTATATCATTCTATTTTTAAACCATTCGTAGCTCATCGAGCTGGCTCCTTCTCATTCTTATCAACTTTCGTGTAGCATCAGTTATTCTCTTTATTGTCTTCTTCGCCTCCTCATTCCAGACATTTTGTCATATTGATTCTGTTTCTCATTTTCTGTCGGTATTCATGTGCAAAGACCTAGCTTATAGTCCAG